TCACTATACTGGGGCGTTAGGACCCACTCAGACCACAGGGTGAGCACCCCCTGCTGGCCTCACTAACACCCCTTCCAACAGCAACCTAGTTTTCCCAGGAGATCTCCCATCCAGGTACTGACCAGGCTCAACCCTGCTTAGCTTCAGTGAGCAACCGGTCTTGGGCTGCAGGGTGATATGGCTGTGGCCATGTATTATTACTCTGAATTAGGCTACTACTACTATTACTATCTTGTACCCTGCCATAATCATGTACTCAAACTCACTTTTATGAGATGAAGGGAAAAAAAAAAAAAATCGGCCAAACATATCGGCCAAAAAAATCGGCATCATATATCGGCCATCGGCTGCCCTGATTTCTAAATATCGGCATCGGCCAGTGAAAAACCCATATCGTTGGACCTCTAGAAATAACTTGTATCCATCAGACAGGTACTAATATAAAGTAGCCTAATAATAAATTGAATAGGCTTAATGTTAAATAAATCAAAGTAATGGAGAAAGTGGCCAAATCAGTCAGCAGGGCACCGGGATTTTTCCTGATTGACTGCGGGGCTGCAGGCTGTACACTCGGCAATACCGTTTACGTTCGGGTCCAGTCGGGTTCGAAATTAAATGCAGTCGGGTCGGACTCGGGTCTAATTTAATCGGGTCTGTCTCGGGTCAGGTTTTTCTTTAAAAAAAAATTTAATTTATGCACGTTGGGCTAGGGTAAGAAGTGATTTGGGTCTATTCGGGTCGGGTACAGATTTTAGGACCCGAGAAGACCTCTACTCCCCAGTGCATTACTCTCCAACCCACCCCACTGCAGACGCTAAATAACACTGTCCAACGAGATGAAATTAACATGACACGAGTGTGTTTATTCTCAACTTTTTTTCTCAAAATTTAACAACTTTTTTTCCCCCCGTAATTTAATGAGTTTATTCTCAACATTTAATCTCGACTTTTTCTCTCAATTTAATGACTTTTTTCTCTCAATTTAATGATTATTTTCAACATTTTATTTAGACTTTTTTTCTAAATTTAACGAGTTTTTTCACGAAACATAACGACTTTATTCTCGAAATTTAATGAGTTTAACCTCAACATTTTATCTCGACTTTTTTCTCGAAATTTAACGACTAATCTCGAGGTGGTTTTATTTTTTTTAATTTTTGCTTGGCCCTAATCCTCTTCCGTATTAATGGTTTGATTTAAGTTTATTCATTAAAACAATTTTTATTTTATTTTATTATCCTATTTTGTTCAATTTAGTCAAATGTTTTCATTGAGCTAACAAATAATCTACAGCATTACATTGCATTTTTTTTCACGAATCAAGTGCTTCAGCACTGAGATTGAAAGCATAATTTTGCAACAAGAAGTTAACAGGTACAAGGAACTCATCTGAACATAGTTATTATATTACATTTACATCCATTATTACATTTACACTTCATTTAAGTCCCTTTATCGTTACTATTCCAATAAAAATAAAATCACTTATTTTACATATAAAATTTTAAACCTATGTTTGTTTGTTTTAAACCTATGAGTTTGCTTGAAGTGCTTAATATAAAGCATTCTTATGTATAGAACAACTTGGGCCATGCACTTTTTGTGCAGCAGCACACTGTGTGTCCTCCGTTATATGTAATATGCGTTTTGTATACAGAAACGTGTTGTTCACTAGTGACATGACCAGCAGGTGTTTTCTGTGCAAAGCACATAGACGTAATTAATTGATTAATCCAATTCATTGTCAATTATTTTCATTATCGGTTACAATACATTTTATTGATTAGTTGTTTCAGCCCTAAGTATAAATCAACATTATTTCAGTATTTATATACTATTTTAGTATTTATTCATATTTTGAATATGCTTTTTTACATTTTATTTTCAATTTTATTTTTAGTGTTTAGTCATTTGATGTGGTTTTGTCTTTTTTGTATATATTGCTTCAGTATTAGTAATTACAGTAAAGCAAATTAAACTTATTTCAGTTAGTTGGCAGGGTAACGGATTTACATTATCATTTTTAGCTATAATTTGTTATTAATTTGTTTAATTTGTTTCCCATATCACAAAAATCATAGGTCTCAAATCAAATAAAACAATGCTACAGATTGTTGGTTGTCTCCCACACTAAATTCCAGCTCCATAAATCTGATTCAAGTCATATTCATATGCAAGTCATATTTTCCTTACGTAACCCTCTCTTTAATAGGTACACCTTTGCCTCTGGTTCTCCAGACAACATTAAGCAGTGGAAATGTCCTGATGGGAACTTCATCCAAAATCTTTCAGGACACAATGCTATTATCAACACACTGGCTGTCAATTCAGATGGAGTTCTGGTGTCAGGAGGTGAAATACTCTCACTCTTTTTATGTTGCAAAGCCAGTCCTGCTAAAAATCTGTTTTATGTAAACAATGTTGAATTTTGTCTTCTACATTTGTTCCCCTATTTTTCTTGATACATTCTCTTACATACCATTGTTGCATCTGTCCTTGGTTATCCTTTTTTCACACCAGCTGATAACGGCACTATTCACATGTGGGACTGGAGGACTGGCTACAACTTCCAGAGGATTCATGCAGCAGTGCAGCCCGGTTCTCTGGACAGCGAGTCTGGGATCTTTGCGTGTGTGTTCGATCAGACTGAGAGTCGGCTCATAACAGCAGAGGCTGACAAAACCATTAAGGTCTACAAAGAGGATGACACAGCTGTAAGTTCTTGGTTTATTATTAATTCTTACTCAAAATTATTATTGATAATAATAATAATAATAAAATAAATTTGTTGACTCTGAAATATAAAAGTTTATCAGATGAGAAAGAATTGCCTTGATGCTGCTGTAAACTCTCTAAATTAATTTTTTTCTTAAAGATTTTCAAATAATTTAATTGATTTTTTTTTTTTCTTTCAGACTGAAGAATCCCACCCGGTTAATTGGAAACCTGAGATTCTGAAGAGAAAAAGATTTAAATTTTTGCTGGGTTTTTTTCTGTTTTTGAAACCTTTCATTTTGTTACATTTTAGCCAGCTGATTTCTAACAGTTTCTGCTTAAGGCATAAACGTAAACAGCACATTCACAATTTAAGTGAAGTCAGGAGACTTAAGATCAGATGAGACATTTAGCTTTGTTCTACCCATTTAAAAAAAAAGAACATTGCTGTTGTATACATTTCTTGTATACACTGTTTCTTCCCTGTCTACTCTAAACAGCATAAGCAGGTCTGTGTGATCAGGCCTGCCAATTATTCATTCAAAAAGGCAAGAAATCCTACAGTCTAATTACAACGTCAAATGTTCTTTTTCACATCTGATCATTATTGCTGCTCTATCAGAGACACAAACAAAACAACTTTGTAAATATTTGCAAACGATGGCTGTTTATGGTTTGCCAAGTTTAAATAAACTGAGCAGTTGACACATTCATAACTTGACATTTTTTGACAATTTACAACAAATCCCTTTGAATTAATAAAAAACTCTCTGAACCATAGATTTTGTCTTGAAAATTGTATTGTTTCCTGATATAATTTGTAAAATGATAGAAACTTGGTTTCAAAAAACATGGTTTTCATCATATTGAACTAATCATCATCATTGCACAAGGAGTGCAAGCAAAAAAAAAAAAAAGTTTACAACAGATCCTCTACAGCCCTCATTCACCAAAGTGTTAGTTTATTTTAAATATATAATCTGATTAGTTCAAGAAGGTACTGCGTAAAAACTGTAAAAAAAAAATATATATATATATACGCATGCAGGTTTTGTTCATTCAAAAACGATTATCCACAGTAGTGTGTATATATGCTGTGTTTTTTCTTGGGTGGCTACATATGGCAGCCAACCTGGGGCTCCAGAAACATGATTGGGAACAACTGGATTAGTTGAAAATGTGTGCTGTGGCTAAAGAAATCTCTGTCAGTTAACATAACAGAAAACGTCCTTGTTTGTATGTAAAAAGTGGATGACGTACTCTGTTACAAACGTAACCTCGGTTCCCTGAGATACAGGAACGAGTACTACGTCTGCTAAGACGCTATGGGAAAAAGCCCTTTTTTCTCCTGAACTGAAGCCTTTTTCAATAACGCAGTGTAGCTGCACAGCCATTGGTTCGTGCAGTACACTTTAAAAATGAACCAATGGCTCGGCAGCGGGGCTGCACAAACCTATGGCCACAAAGCCCGCCAGAATGGGCGGGGCCATCTGGCTATATAAGCGGGCACTTCGCCATAGGATTCAAGTTACTTCGACTGAAACAACGACAAAGCAACGCAGTACTTGTTCCCGTATCTCAGGGAACCAAGGTTACGTTTGTAACTGAGTACGTTCCCTATCGATACTTCACTTGTACTGCATCTGCTAAGACGCTATGGGAACCAGTACAATCACGCCATGCTATGGCAGAGGAATACATGTGCAACCTTGCCCTAGGCACCTCAGGGCCCAAGGGGACAAGAATAGTAAACACTTCCCAAGGCGAATGGGCTAAGCTCACAGAGGTCACGCCCAGCCTGAGTGATCGTTCCAGAAAACTTGCACAGCCCCGGCACCCATGAGGACCCAGAGCGCACAAGTAAATCCTCTGATGGGTTTAAACATGTTACGGCCAAAGTCCTGCTCAGAGCAGTACTGCGTAAGCAGGTGCGTGCCAGTTATGCAGAAAGAACGCTAGCCTGCAAGGTAGGGACGTCCAGGTTATAAAACCTAGCAAATGTGAATGGCGAGGCCCAACCGACTGCCGCACAAATTTCCGCAATGGACATACCGCTAGACCATGCCCAAGAAGAGGCGACGCCTCTAGTTGAATGAGCTCGTACACCAATGGGGCATTGCAGACCCAAGGAAGAGTAGGCTAGCATAATAGCGTCAACTATCCACTTAGAAAGTCTCTGCTACATGACCGGATGCCCTTTAGCGTGGCCACCGAAGCAAACAAAGAGCTGTTCAGACTGTCTAAACAGGACGGAACGCTTAATGTAAACTTTCAGCGCCCTGATGGGGCAGAGTAAATTCAACTCCTGGTCCTCTTCTGAGGGAGGAAGCGCAGACAGTGTAATGACCTGTGCCCTGAACAGAGTTGAGAGCACCTTGGGTATATAACCATGCCTCGGCTACAGGACGACCTTTGAGCCGCCAAGCACGAACTCCAGGCAGGTAGGGCTCACAGAGAGTGCCTGTAAGTCTCCCATTCATTTGACCGATGCTAATGCTAGCAGCAGAGGGACCGAACGACAGGTACCGAAGGTCAACAGACTGCAGGGGCTCAAAGGGAGGACCCTTCAGGTCCCTCAGAACAGTGGACAGGTCCCACGTAGGGACAGTGAGGGGACGGGTCGGTTTCAGCCTCCTAGCATCCCTCAGAAAACGGACAACAAAGCTCGGGCCGGAGGTGCCATATCGTCTTGTTCACCTGAGAGAGGAGATCCTTCCTCAGGGGAATGGGCCATGGGGATACTATGAGCAGCTGCGACAGCTCTGATAACCAATGCTGGGGCCACCAGGAGAACCTTGCGTTCTTGTTCCCTGATTCGTCTGATTACCTGCGGAATCAGGGCAATCGGGGGAAAAGCATAGAGAAGGAGGTTGGGCCAGTCGTGGGCCAACACGTCCTTGTCCTTGGAATAATACATTTGGCAATGAGATTTGTCTTTTGAGGCGAAGAGGTCCACTTCCGCCTTGCCAAAGATCTCCCAAATTGTTTAACCATCTGCGGATGAAGCATCCACTCTTCTGAGGGGACTTTGCTTCATGACAACATGTCCACTCCATGGTTCAGTTTGCCTGGAATGTGCGCTTCTCTCAGCGAGCGCAGGTTGAGCTGAGCCCATTCCAGGAGGCGCTCTACCAGCATAAAGAGGCGCCTCGAGAAAAGCCCTCCCTAGGGATTTATGTAGGACACCACAGTCATGCTGTCTGAGCAGACCAGAATGTGGTGTCCCCTCAGGTCCGGTAGGAAGGTTTGATAGGCCCGACATACCGCCAGCATTTCGAGGCAGTTGATGTAAAGACCGTCCTCCACTTTCGACCAGTGGCCGAAAGCCGGTTTTCCTTCGCACAGAGCTCCCCAACCCGTGTTGGAAGCATCTGTCGAAACCACCTTTCTCCTGTAGACCATTCCCAGGGGGATGCTCTGTTCCATCCACTGAGCATTCTTCCAAGGGGTCAGGACTGTTACACAGGCCTCGTCTACCCTGATAAGCAGGCGTCCGTGATGCTACGCATGGGATGGAACCTGCAAGGGGATGCATACGAAGCAGGCCCAACTGTAGCACTGGAGACGCTGTGGCCATTAGGCCCGACATACCGCCAGCATTTCGAGGCAGTTGATGTAAAGACCGTCCTCCACTTTCGACCAGTGGCCGAAAGCCGGTTTTCCTTCGCACAGAGCTCCCCAACCCGTGTTGGAAGCATCTGTCGAAACCACCTTTCTCCTGTAGACCATTCCCAGGGGGATGCTCTGTTCCATCCACTGAGCATTCTTCCAAGGGGTCAGGACTGTTACACAGGCCTCGTCTACCCTGATAAGCAGGCGTCCGTGATGCTACGCATGGGATGGAACCTGCAAGGGGATGCATACGAAGCAGGCCCAACTGGAGCACTGGAGACGCTGCGGCCATAAGGCCCAGCATCTTTTGAAACGCCTTGAGGGGGCGAGAGGCACCGGCCTTGAAGGAAGCCGCGAGCTGCTGTATGACCAGAGCACGCTCTGTCACGACCACTGCTCTCATTTGGGTTGAGTCGAACACTGTTCCCAGGAATGATACTCGTTGGCTGGGGGACAGTGCACTCTTGGCAAAATTGACCCTGAGCCTCAGGTATTCTAAGTGGCTGAGGAGGAGGGCTCTGTGAGATAATGACTCCACCTCCGACTAGGCCAGAACGAGCCAGTCGTCGAGGTAATTGAGAATGCGGATTCCCTTCTGCCTCAGGGGAAAGAGCCACATCCATGCACTTCGTGAAAGTGCATGGAGCCAGGGACAGTCCGAAGGGAAGGACCGTGTATCGATAAGCCACTCCCTCGAAGGCAAATCTCAAGAATCGCCTGTGGTGGGGTCTATTTGGATGTGAAAGTAGGCGTCTTTCAAGTGCAGAGAAAAGAACCAGTCCTCTGGTGGATTTGCGAGAGGATCTGCTTCAAAGTAGTCATCCTGAACGGCCGTTTCATGAGGGAGCGATTCAGGCCGCCATTCTTCTTGGGGATGAGGAAGTAACGGCTGTAGAAGCCTAACTCGCTCTGAGATGGAGGGATAGCTTTGGGGATAGCTTGCCATGCCTCGGCCCGGGAAGTCAGGGGTTGGATTGGTTCGAGTGCCTGGTCACTGCAAGGGGACATGGTGCTCGTGAGGAATGGAAGAGGAAATCTGCTCTCTTTTTGAAAATGTTTGTGTTCTAATCTGTCCATTATAACAGCGGATCGTTGCTTGGGCGCTTGAACGGGCCCAGAGTTTGCAGCAAACACATCACCGACTGCACCCTGAATTGGACGGGGTGATTGGCAGCTTAAGAGAGGCAGCTTGGTGGGTGGTCCGGCTGCAGCGAGACTTGGCCCCCTACTCTTTCTGTCCCATAGATCAGGACGACGCCTGTGGCTGAAGGACAGGACGAAGTCTGTGTTGGCTGAATATATTTAACAGCTTCTACAGTTAAAGATAAAATTTAAAGCACTCTTTTTGATATGTCCTTTTTAAGAAAATGTTTAAAAAATCGTTCTTTAATTAAATCTAAAAATATTTCAAAATATTTAATGCTTTAATTATTATACCATTAATAATTAACTGAATTTGTAGTTTAAATTACATTATACTTTGACTTCCTGCACTTGCTTTACTTCATACTTCAGTACAGTAAAATAACTAAAATGTTATATTAGTTATTTTATAGAAAATCCAAAAGCACTAAGGAGTGGAAATGGCAACAGAGCTAATGAGTGATCCTCTGCTGCCATCTACTGGTTATAATGGTGATTTAATGTAATTTTCATCTTAAAAGTCTTTGTTTTCCACCAGGAGACAATTATTTGGCACATTTTTTTCATGTAATCTTCATGAATAAAAAGTGAATTTTTAAAGTGAATTTTACTGCACAACTGCAAAGTTAAAACAAATAATAAAGGCTTTGCATCTTTGTCACTGTTTTCACTCATGCG